AATGAATAAATAGATAGATTACTTTTAATAATTTTAGATCATTAAACACTTACTTATTCTATAAGTTGAAATTCTTTAAGTATATACTTTATAAGTGCACGCACTATACGATTTCTCTCTGATGCAACATATGGTATTTGTCTAGTTCCAATTTATATGACTTTATATCTTTAAATATATACGCAAAGTACACAATTTACTTTTTTTTTTTTTTTTTACAATTGTTATTCTTTATATATTCAAAAATTATGGGATTTTATTGGCTGAAAGTAATGTGATGATCGACAAAAATTTTAGCACTATTATTAAAATTTGATGTGACTAAGTAATATGCACTATATAATGATAATAATAGTGATTAGTATTTAATATGTTATGATAGCGATAATGATTAGTACTTAATATATTTTTTTTAAAAAAAAAGATATTCTTTCTTACTATACATAAAATGTCGAAAACCAATGATTCTTCCACAATTGTCACAAAAACTTCAAGCAATATATTTATTTATGATATTATTCAAGAAGAAATATATCCTAATAAAGATATTCTTGCTTATACATCAAAGCCAAATCAATATCGTATTCCACATAATTATATTGTTAAAACCATTTTTAAAAACAATCAATTAAAAAAGACTATAACATGTTCGATTCAGTACTAAAACAAAACACCTGAATTTAAAATTGAATTTATATACAACAATAATGTTGAAGTTATAATATCAAATAAAAGTGCATTAAATGCTGCAAATCTTTATATACAACAATATTATGAATTGATTGCTACTGATATTGAACAAAAAAATGGTCAAAAACCAAAACAAAAAAAAACTAAATTAAATGATATATATGTCTTTGGACTTTAATTAGAACAAATTAGTAAGATTCGTGATAGCTGATCTGTAGCAAAAAGGTGTAAACCATTTGAAGAACTTGGTAACTCTATGCAAGTAAAGCATAATAAAAAATTTGAAAATAAGTTGTTAGATTTATTTAAACAACAAGCATCACAAACATTTAATGAAAAAGATAATATTTTGCTTGAAGGATTAATTTTTCAGTTAATATATAAAGATTTTATATTAACTATAAATTAGATAATAAAAATCTTGAGTTACAAAAACAAGCAGTTGTAAAAACAATAGATATTAGAAGAGTATCACAAAATACATATCAATTATTAGCAGCTATAGGACATGATCTACCAAGAGAATGAGCTGTTTTTGCAATACAACAACAAATTAATGATAAATTATCACAAGCTATTTTAATTTACTTAATTGACGATTCTCCAGTCAACTGAAGAATGATCATAGTGAAACATGACGCGGTTCTATATATAAATTACTAT